TAGCATCATGCAGTTGTCGGCTGTACATCCATGATGCGAATCTCCAGTTTCATCACATCCCAAAGGTGCTCTATTGGATTGAGATCTGCTGACTGTGGAGGCCATTTGAGTACAGTGAACTCATTGTTATGTTCAAGAAAGCAGTTTCAGATGATTCGTGCTTTATGACATGGCGTGTTATCCTGCTGGAAGTAGTCATCAGTAGATAGGTACACTGTGGTCATAAAGGGATGGACATGGTCAGCAACAATACGCAGGTGGACTGTGGTGTTGACACAATGCTCAATTGGTAGTAATGGGCCCAAAGTGTGCCAATAAAATATCCTCACACCATTACACCACCACCATCAGCCTGATTTATTGATACAAGGCAGGATGGATCCATGCTTTCAAATTCTAAATCTACCATCTGAATGTCACAGCAAAAATTGAGACTTGTCAGAGCAGGCAATGTTTTTAAAATCTTCTATTGTCCAATTTTGTTGAGCCTGAACACATTATAGCCTCAGTTTTCTGTTTTTAGCTGACAGAAATTTGTATCAACGTGCAGTTGGACAGGTGTACCTAATAAAGTGGCCAGTGAGTGTATGTATTTTTAATAAGTTATGAAAGTGTCTGGTGTGAGGAAAGAATGTGTCCTACAGGTCGTTAATTAAGCCCACTTACCTAATTGATCCACACCAATGCTTGCACAATGTTTTCCAAAAGCAACGACTGTTGATAAGAAAGTGTCTGGTGGACCTGAAGAGGAGAGTGTGTGTCGTACAGGTGGTTTATCAAGCCCACTCACCTGATTGGTGTACCTAATTAAGTGGCCAGTGAGTGTATGTATTTTTAATAAGTTATGAAAGTGTCTGGTGTGAGGAAAGAATGTGTCCTACAGGTGGTTTATTAAGCCCACTTACCTGATTGATCCACACCAATGCTTGCACAATGTTTTCCAAAAGCAACGACTGTTGATAAGAAAGTGTCTGGTGGACCTGAAGAGGAGTGTGTGTGTGTCGTACAGGTGGTTTATCAAGCTCACTCACCTGATTGATCCACACTAAGAATGGCACAATGTTTTCCAAAAACATGGACTGTTGATAAAAGCGTCTGGTGCATACTGAGAAGAGAGAGTGTGTCCTACAGGTGGTTTATCAAGCCCACTCACCTTGATTCACATTAAGACTTGCACAATGTTTTCCAAAAACATAAACTGTTGATAAGAAAGTGACTGGTGCATGCGGAGAGGAGAGAGTGTGTCCAACAGGTTGTTTATATAAAACTGATAAATGAATATTCAGTGGCAGGCTGACTGGAGAGTGATTTTACAGAATATTGTACCCCTCTTGGATTAATAGTTGATTTAATATTGGAATCTGAAAGTGTATCAGGCAGGCAGTAAAGTAAAAGCAAATAGGCGAAGTGAATAAATAGCATTACAATATCCCCCCAGTTATGCCATCCTGGCGACAGACCTGCTGTCTTCTCTTTCCTCTGTCAGTGTTTTCACTGAAATGATGAATAGCATCCAATTCAGATTTTGATGGTGTGTCATGGCCTGAGGAAATCATACACCATACCTAACATTATCATTTTGTCTGCTAGCACAGTTATCTTGCGTGATCAGAATTAGGTCTGTCTGAGTCCCATGAAACTATGGCCTGAAACGATAGGCTCAGATGAGGGAGATAGGAAAAGAGGACAGAGGTAAGAGCTGCATCTTTTTTTCTTCCTCCCACACTAGGAAGAATGTTAGGGGACATTTTGCACTCACCAAGATTGCACAATGCATCTATGGGTCACTGACTTATTGGCAAACTGGGATTTTTAATTTATGGTATAAACTATGCAGCTGAACGGCAAAACAAGCCTATTTTTTTGAGCTAATTGACTAAACAGTTGCTCTACTTTTGCTCTAGTAATGGTTGCACTGTTTTTTAAATACTATATTTGTACTTGCCAGATATGAGGCTAGTTATATAAAGGGTAGCTTTAAATGGACAATTTACATAAAAATTTCAACATTTTCTATTATCAAGGGGTTTCAGACCCTTTTCAGCTTCGTTTTTCTGTTAAACATAGGATATTTTCAATGTTGAAAACTGCTTGCCATTGACATCGAAATAAAAAAACAATTGTTATAGAAGTCAATGTCTACTAGTTTCCGACATTCTTTAATAGAGCCCATATTTTGCACTATAAAAGGTCATATTTTGGTTTTGGGGGTCTCCAACAACAGGCTTACATACATGCAAGCTCAAAAAACACTTTCATTGTCTTATAATAGGGGTCACCAATCCTGGTCCTGGAGGGCCGGTGTCCCTGCAGGGTTTAGCTCCATCTTGCCTCAACACACCTGCCTGGATGTTTTAAGTATAACTAGTAAGACCTTGATTAGCTTGTTCAGGTGTGTTTGATCAGGGTTGGAGCTAAAATCTGCAGGACACCGGCCCTCCAGGAACAAGTTTGGTGACCACTGTCTTATAATATGCATTTATTTTTACCTAATTATGCCAACAACTCTCATTTGATTTGTTCAGCGATTCATTTGTTCCCAAATCCCTCCTTAGCGCAATGCTAATCTGCGCTTATTGATCCGATGACCCAGTCTGTTGTGATTGATCAACTGCGTTTAGCGCAAGACAGAGAGAAACACCCACCACAGCTATGAAGTATCACCCAGAGTATGTGAGAGCCCAATACAGGAATGCATTGAAGCAATGCTGTTAAACACCAGCATATTACTCTAATGTTAACCCTAACCCCAAGTAACGACACACATTCAGTGTTAATCCACACTGTGGCCAAAGTTCAACTATTTTGAAAATTGACCACGCATGTGAGGAACAGCTGATGGTGGCCATAGCTAAGGCAAACGGCAGAGGATCGTGAGTTCAGAAACGCATTTAAATCAGTAAAGGAAGAAGCACGCCTCACGTTTTTAACATGGTTTTGGACGCAATGTGAATAGCCCCATACAGATTCAACCTGTGAAATACAGTACAAGCACTGATCTGTAATAGATACATGATTACAAGCTGCACGGAGCGATTACAAGTTACAACACACAATTAAATACATGTTCTGATACAGAGGAAGAAGAAACTGGTGCATGTGAACTGTAATGCTGTGTTCACACCAGACGTAGTATGCGCTGATAAATCGTGCTATTAGCACGTAAATAGACACGTGAACATATTGAGTTTACTTGCTTTATTCATGCGTCAAATTCACAACACATGTGGATTCGCATCATGGGTGGGGGTTCTGTCTGCTCTCTGACTCTAGCTTTGCTGCTAAATGGCCAACATGGATTTTACTGAGAGAATAACTGTGTTTGTGTGCTTTTATGAAGGCTGAAAAACAGCGTAGATTCGTTTGGTGCCGTGTCTGAGTCCACTAGATCCATACAGAGGTGCACCCAACTCTGTGAGTTCATACTTCTCCAGAAACTATACCTGGATGAAAGCTTTTAGCGGTGCTTCCGACAGAGCCGAGCCTAGTTTGATGAACTGTTGTCTGGTGTCGGCAGGAGGATTTTCCATCGGGTATACCAACAACAGGTGATACGTCATAATCACGCCCCTACAAGATAAAAGCTCCTGATTGGTTAACGCGGTGTGAATGTCCGCTGAAGTTCAGATTTTTCAACTCGAGCGATTTGCATGTCAATCGCACAAAACGCTCAACTCCCACCACTTCATTCACACAAATCGTGTTGTTCGTGCTACCTCATTCATGCAGATCATGCTGCAGGATGTCTAGTCACGTTTTTGCATTGACTTAACATGTTAATTACTCCCAAATCTCTGTCAAAGCCCCATACATAATAGTCTCTGCTGGTCGTTCCTTTAATAACAAACAGCAGATGAATCCCACACTCCAGCATAGGTTATTGTATCAATCATCAGAAAAACAACAGTAACAAACACAGCACATGGTTGCCTATACTGTGGTGTTGTTGTGACAATAAACTTAAACCCTTTATTCCCCGCAGCCATATCTGTTAGGGATCATCATCTGTGTCATGATCAGTCCTGTGATCCCCGCGCTGCACTAGTGTCTGAAGGGAAATGCACTTTACCGTTTTTAACGGATATAATACAACATATTTTGTGATGTACTATATCCACGTCAACTCATTCAAGCAAAATATCCAAACTCAATTCGATTAATTTACTCAACTCTAAGTTGACTATTTTGTTAAATAATCAATAGTTTTAAACAGTGCACTTTCGGGACTTAAACCTCAGCATGGATGGTCATTTTCAAAAACCCATAATAGGGGCTCTTTACAATATTATTCTTTGTTTTCAACAAAAGAAAGAAAATGACCATTCATTTTTGCATGAACTCATTAAAGTTAGGTGCATGGATAGGTTTAGTTCATGCAGTGACAATACTTAATATGCACATGCAAAACAGGACTGTAAAGGAAAGTGCTATCCTATGTATTTTAGGTCAAAATCCTGCATCTATTATGTCTTGCAATCCTGTGTAACTGCATTCTAAGTCATTTACAGTCTTCTCTTAGGAAAAACCCATTCTATGCAAATTAGGCTCAATATAGATTACCCCATATTTATGGAACCTAGTGTCATTTGTCTGGGGTAATTAGCATTCCACTGTTGCCACCCACAGAACCAAGACAGTACACAGAAATTAAAAAAAGATTAACACATTCTACTGTTTACATCATTAGTAGATTAAATAAAGTAGAAATGTACAGGATTTCTTCAAAGAAACAACTAAATCTAAACAACCTTGCAACATCCTCTGAAAACCCCAGAAAGTCTATTCTAAAAGTGAAAATGTAATGTGAAATGAAGGCTAAGAGGGCATTGTTCCTTCACTTCTCACACCTACAACTCCTGCCAATGCTAAGAATCAAACCAGTGATTTTTGAGCTGCATATCTGGCTCTTACCAATTAGCAAAAATCTTCACATTGCAAATAAAATGGCAATAAACTATGAGGCATACATGCAACTAATTATTATTATTTTTTCTTTGCAGGTGGCAAACCTTCTTAGACTCTTCCAGATCCCACAGATAAGCTATGCTTCTACTAGCGCCAAGCTCAGCGACAAATCCCGTTACGATTATTTTGCCCGAACTGTGCCCCCAGACTTCTATCAGGCCAAAGCCATTGCTGAGATCCTGCGGTACTTCAACTGGACCTACGTTTCCACTGTAGCCTCAGAGGGTGACTATGGTGAAACCGGCATCGATGCGTTTCAACAAGAAGCCAGAGTACGGCAAATCTGCATAGCAACTTCAGTAAAAGTCAGCCGCTCGGTGAACCAAGGAAATTACGAAACAGTTATTCGATCACTTCAGCAGAAAGCCAACGCCAAAGTTGTGATCCTCTTCACCAGGAGTGAAGATGCAAGGGAATTGCTTGCTGCCGCAGCCAGGATGAATGTTACCTTCATTTGGGTGGCCAGCGACGGCTGGGGAGCGCAGGAGAGCGTAGTCCATGACAGCGAGAAGGCCGCAAATGGGGCTTTCACCATTGAGCTTGCTTCGTACTCCATCAGGGAGTTTGAGGACTATTTCACCAAGCTAACGCCAGAGTTAAACACAAGGAACCCATGGTTTAGGGAATACTGGGAGCATAACTTTGGTTGTAATCTACAGGACCACGGTTGTGCCAGTAAAAGCCTGAGAAACGACTTGTTTAAACCAGAATCAAAGATCATGTTTGTGGTGAATGCAGTCTATGCTATGGCCTATGCCCTACATAACATGCGGCAAGCTGTGTGCCCCAATACCACAAAAGTGTGTGACGCTATGAAGCCAGGCAATGGGAAAAGGTTCTACCGGGAGTTTATTCTCAAGACTAAGTTTGATGGTGAGTAAAATTAGCAACACAGTAAAAGCTTTCACGCTTTGTTCAGTTCAGACTCTTGCAATACAGCATGTCCTCCTCACCAAATGAATGTGTAAGCTCTTTAATTATATATCTAATATTAGATTCAATCAATGTAAAATTGATTTGCCACTCATTGAAAGACTTCCCAATGAAAGCTTCAGATGTTATTACATTTATAGAAAAAAACTTACTTTTTCAAATGATCAGACAGCTGCAACTGGTCTCAGTCAGAGCTTAGATGGTATACTGATTTACTGTATGACTTTTTAATAGAAAAATCGTTCAGCTTTAATGTTGTCAAATATATTTATAATGGGCCATTTCCACTGAGTGGTATGGTACAGTACGTTTTTATGGCCGTTTCCACCGTCAAAAGGTACCTAAAAGCGAACTGTTCCATTCCAGTTTTGGGTATCCTTTGCAAAGTGTACCGAGCTCAACAAAAGGGTACCAAAAGGTGGAGCTAGACACGCAACTGAACACTATTGGTTTACGGAGATACAATACTCACTCATGCAACAAGCCACAATGAAAACAAAGTAAGTGCCATGTTTTAAATACACAGCCGAGAAACTACATTGTAATAGCATACACGTATAATTGACCATAAGCCATGGTCAACCCAAGCTCAAAAAAACCTTGTCGTCGTTGATGAACAGCCACAGACAAGAAGAGCATAATCTGCCCTGTGCCCCATAGCGGTTTCGATTTCTCCTGTGAACTTGCCTCGAGTCTGTAAATAACAAACTTTCTAAGCTGATAATAATAACGTGCGCTTGATTATTGAAGTGCTTATGACATTCAATCTTTTCAGACGCACAAAAAAAGAAGCCAGAAAAAACAAAGGAGCAAAGGATTCCTTCAGCAGTCTAAAATATGTACACAAACTGCCATGTTTAACTATTATCATCACCTTTTGGGCTATTATGAACTTGGAATGATGGAATTCCATGTGCTGGTGAAGATTAAAGACACTTAGAGGTTTACACTGACTGGGATATATGTTTGAACCCAAGTAAGGTCTAAATCTATGCTTGTGTAGTTTTTCTGTAATTAGTAACATAATTGATATTGTAAGGGTCTGTATGTCTTCATATATTTTGCATTTATTTATTTATTTTATATAATTGCAGACGTTATAGTAGGCTATTTCGCATCATTGATCTGGAATTATAATCAAATCAAGTGTTGTAAGAAGTTCTTCTCATTTGATATGTGAACGTCACACAGCTTTGCTTTTGCCATTTTCTTGAGCGAGAATGACATCGGCTGAAACTTTGTCGCACACCACACCCACCAAAAGAGTATCATTGTACCCTTTTAGCAGTGAAAACGCAAGCCTGATAAAGGTGATCTGTACCAAGCCATACTGTACTGTAGCACTCAGTGGAAACCGGCCAAAAGATTAGCTACCATTACATCAATAACGTATTAATAAAGTAAGACTAATTGCGCAATATTTGTAAAACAAATAAATATTGCATGTACTCTGTGGATAATTTAATGTTTTCAAACCTTTTTCAGCTCCCTTCAGGCCTGCCGACACTGAGAATGTGGTACGGTTCACCTCATTGGGTGACAGTTTGGGCCGCTATAACATCTTTCACTACCGCAAAGAGGATAACAAGTATGTCTACCGGAAGGTCGGCTATTGGGCACAGGGCTTAGTGCTCAATACCAGTCTGGTGCCTTGGGCTGGTGGAGTAGCTCCTACATCCCAGTGCAGTGACCCGTGCCAACCCAATGAAGCAAAAAGCATGCAGCCTGGGGATGTATGCTGCTGGATTTGCATCCCATGCCAACCCCACCAATTTCTCCTCAATGAATTCACCTGTGTGGACTGTGGATTCGGACAATGGCCCCTCGCTAATTTGACAGGGTGCTATGAGCTTCCAGAGGAGTACATCCACTGGTCGGATGCATGGGCTGTGGGACCTGTCACCATTGCCTGCCTGGGGATGCTTTGTACACTTGCAGTTGCTGGGCTTTTCTTACGAAGCAATGACACACCGGTGGTGAAAGCTAGTGGAAGAGAACTGTCTTACATCCTGTTATTTGGTGTGCTCCTGTGCTATGCCATGACCTTCATTTACATAGCCAAACCCTCAGCATTTGTGTGCGCCCTGCGTCGCCTGGGCCTTGGCACCTCCTTTGCAGTTTGCTACTCTGCTTTGCTGACGAAGACCAACAGGATTGCTCGGATCTTTGGTGGGGCAAGAGACAGCGCCCAACGACCACGCTTCATAAGCCCTGCCTCTCAGGTAGCAATCTGCGCTGCATTGATCTCTGCCCAGCTCTTGGTGGCTCTCGTCTGGCTGCTTGTAGAGGCGCCGGGGGTCAGGAAAGAAGTGGGTCCAGATCGGAGAGATGTGGTGACTCTGAAATGCAACAGTCTAGACTCGAGCATGCTGGTGTCGCTCAGCTACAACTGCATCCTCATCATCCTCTGCACATTCTATGCCTTCAAGACCAGGAAGTGTCCAGAGAACTTCAATGAGGCCAAGTTTATCGGTTTCACCATGTACACCACCTGCATCATCTGGCTGGCCTTCCAGCCCATCTTCTATGTCACTGCCAGTGACTACAGAGTAAGTAGGAGAGATTTGTGATAAGAACAAGTTTGAAGGTGCATGTCAAATTATTGTGGTAATGTTATCTATTTCAGTGGTTCACAACCCTGTTCCTTAAGTGCTTATCTAGACTCTGTGGCCAAACTCGTTCCTGGAGGGCCAGTGTCCTGCAGATTTTGGGTGCTTTCACATCTGTAGTTCGCTTCATTTGGTCCGGACGAAGGGCAATAAATGATACATTGTTGCATTTTCTGCCGTCTTTTTCACACCAAACTGCTGGCTTTGGTCCGAACCAGTTGAAACGAACCAAAATGCAGTAATCTGACAAAATCCACATCTCTCATTGGCCAGATGTTATTGATCATATTTCCTAAACTGCTCATTGATTAGTTAGAATTCACGTGCTGGTAAATGCCAATAAACTCCCACAGGTAAACAAAACCGGCAGACACAAAATGTCGTTTTTACTCTGGAGGGAGGACTGCGCTGACTGATTGCATCCCTGCTTTAGACAAACTATACATTTCGAGAATGAAGCACGGCTGCGGCTGGAAAACAGTGTTTTAATGCGTCGCTCGTCACTTCAGGAGGAGGCGTAAATTAATTTAGCTAAACTGCGACATGGTCATCTTACGGAAATATTACCAATGATCCATCAAGTAATGTTTCCCCTCTCTCTGTTGGTAAAGCGCTGTCAACAAATATTTTTCCTCCATATCCCATAATGCACAGCGTATCGGCCTACGGGAGCTGGATTAGTCCAAAAGTTGCAGTACTTTTTGCGGTTGGACCTGTTTTAGTACGGATCATATTCTCTATAGAAACTAACTGGTCCAGGGTTCGTTTGAAAGCGTACCGAGACCACCTCTTCAAGCAGGTCTCGGTACGCTTATTTGGTCCGCTTTTGGTGCGCACTCGAGTACGATTGCTGCATTCTCACCTGCCCAAACGAACCGTACCAAAAGGGAAAACGAACTCTAGTGCGATTCAATAAAACTAAATAAGGCAGGTGTGAAAGCACCCTTTAGTTCTAATCCCAATTAGACACACCTGAACCAGCTAATCAGGCTCTGTCTAGGTATGCTAGAAACTTCCAGACAGCTGTGTTGAAGAAAGTAGTAGTTAAACCAGGGATAGGCAAACTCAATCCTAGAGGGCTGGTGTCCTGCAGTTTTGCTCCATCTGAATTAAACACACCAGCCTGTAGCTTTCTAGTGATCCTGAAGACATTGATTAGTTTGTTCAGGAGTGTTTGATTAGTGTTGGAGCTAAATTCTGTAAGGACACTGGCCCTCGAGGAACAAGTTTGCCCATACCTGAGATAAACTATGCATGACACCAGTCCTCAAGGGCAGAGTTTGGGTCACCCTGGTCAATGCCTATGAAGTTAAATCCAGTGTATTGATTAGGCAGGTTATTGATTTTCCAACCTGACTCTAGGAAGGTGAGAATTTATTTCTAACTTGCAAAACACCTTTCTAAAACCTCAAGTAATCTAAAAGTCTTTGATTAACTAGTTGAGGTGTGTTTAATTGTGTTGAAAGCTAAACTTTATCCTCCAAGATTGGACACCTGGGGTTATGGGAAGGCATTATGGCAGGGTTCTTCAATTCTGCTCCAAGAAGTTCAGGGTCCCACAGAGTTTAGTACCAACCCTAATCAAATATATCTGCCTGTAATTTAAAAGAAGACCTTGATTAACTGTTTTGATTATGATTAGATGAAACTCTGCAGGACAGTAGACCTCTAAGAGCAGAATTCTGAAATTGTAAATTAGCGAGATAACGTGCAGTACTGGAGCTATTCAAGAGCAGGGGTGGGAATCCCTAATCTATTTCAAATGATCAAATTATGTCAAACACTGCAAGTTGGAAACCTGTAGTCATCGACTTCCATAGCATTTGTCTTATCCACTATGGTAGTCAATGGCTACAGGTTTTCAGCTGTCATGAATACCTAAAAACAAAAAAACTCAAAATAAAGTTAAAAAAAAAAATCTACAGAAGGAAGAAACTCATTAAGATTTGCAACTACCTGACTGAGTAAAATTTTAGTTTTCGTTGAACTATCCCTTAGAACAAAACGTCATGCTTAAGGTGACAGTGTTAATGCTAATAAAAATAACAGTAAATAATGATTCAAAGATTCTGCTGATTCATAATATTTATGACAGATGATTAAACTTACTTAGTCTTTTTCCAAGTCATAATAACGCCAAACAAGAGGTTACATTTAGAGCTGGCCTCTGGCTCTTTCACTCAGACAAATTCAGTCCCTCAAACATGCAGTACAGTGATGTGAATGTCTAGTCGATACAGAAACACTATCTGAGGGATGAGGGCTGCCAGTCTCATGTTATCAGGAGACTCGTTGCTGCAAGGCGAGAGATGTCAGAGCTCCGTTAGTGACACAGTAAACACGGTCATCAAGAATGGCCCCTGGCTGAGAGTGGCAATCCCTGGACCGCATACATTTTACAACACCATCACACTATCCACAGAGAATTACACCCAGATCAGTTAGGTGCTGTCAATATCAGTGCTGGAGGGCTGTGTAGCGTCAGCCAGTTAACCTTTGGAAGGAGAGATGGGACTATATCTGAAGGTTAACTGTCAGGAAACTGATTTAAAAGATTTATGTTTCACCACCTGTGAAATAAAGTGTTTTTTGGCTTGGGAGCTTCTCTGTCTGAATAAACTAGAGGTCCAGAGATCTCCCAGAGACCTACTTGCTGTCTATTATTTCAAAGACTGACTTTCAAAGGATGATTTCAGAGGAGTCATTGTGATGGACTCATTTTAGTACCCATTATTGTTTGAATGTTCATTTTTGCTAGCTCACATTGTTATTATTTGGGAAAACAATTAATCCATTAAAAGTAAAATTGTTTCAAAATCAAAGTCAGACCAGTTGTTTTCATGTTTGGAGTGGCGGATCTTCTCTGTTGAAGTCAGTTTGAAGGCTTCAGCCCCAATAGTATTAATTATGGCCCTCTTACCGCTAGTTTGCTATTAGGAAATGGTGTGCAAACAAAAGCTATGCCGCTACTCAATAGTGTTTCATTTGGAAGTACATCAACAGACATCAAATAAGTTTCAGCAACTTCTGGTTCACTCTGATGTTAAATTTCAGTATTTCAGAACAGAACTTCTGTTCAGAACAGAAAAGAAGTATATTTTGTTATAATGGAGTAGCTGGGTAGGGTTTTTTTGCGTATCATTCCCTCATAGCAAACTAATGGTAAAAGGGGTGCGGTTAAGATTATTGTGGCTGAAGTGTTAAACTGATATCATCAGATAAGAAATACCACTACACAAGCTGATGCAAATGATCAGATTTTGATTGAAGATTACCAAAACATTTTTTTCCAGTGGAATAACTTGCACTGATTAATTGTTCACCTAAAGACTAACAATGTGCGCTAACAAAATAAACATAATAAAGTTTGATTTCACATGGATTTTAAATTCCAAAGTAAAAAAGAAATTACAGTAATTTACAAAATAGGAGGAGAAACTGAGAAATGAGACATCCTAGTGTCTGCGTCGACAGATGTGGCCATCACATGCAATCTTCAGAGGGTGCAGCATGCAAAATGAGATGCTGCTAGGGTGCTTTTCAATCAGTAGGACTTCCAAGGGTATGAGTTTCCAGGATAAGGTGGGTTTAATTAGGGTTAGAGGCTTGGAGCTAAATCAGGATTGTCCAATCTTTGTCCTGGAGGGCCACAGTCCTGCAAGTTTTATCTTCAGTACACTTGCCTGGAAGTTTGTAATGGAGTCTGAAGACCTTGCATTAGGTGGGCTTGATTGGGTCAAGAGCTAAACTCTGTAAGAAAGTGATTTCAGCATACCTTAAAGCAGTGTTTCACAAAGTGGGGGTTGGGACCCCCTGGGGGATTGCGAGACAATGAAAGGGGGATCGCTTGGTGATTTCCAAAAATCTCATATATTTTATTAAACTATTACAACTATCATATTTTATCCATAACATAAAGAATAGAAAATATTTTTAACTTATAATATATTTTTATATACTTATATAATATTATAAAAACAAGCAAATAAAAAAATCATAAGCCTTTCAATTTTTTTTTCCATTGGATTGCGACCCCGCGGTTATTATGCTAGATTAACATCACAGCAATAGCGTTAGTTGCAGCAGATTGATTTCATGGAACAATGTTAAACTGATACCTTCATAGCACTCACATACATTAAAAATGGCCATGACTGAACCAGGTGATCTCCAAGTGGCTCGAAGTCTCTATTATTAAACCAAGAATAGTCTTGTGCTATAAACAATGTGCTCACTATTCTCATTAAGTGAAATTAATATTAGAATAAACAAATAATGATTATAAAAAATAGACTGTTGTACTTTTTTGTCGTCAATAAGTTTGTTTATATAGTTCCTATTGGTGTGTGTGCACCATTGTGTGCTGTATTTGTATGCTTTTAATCACCTCAGAGCATAGAGGGGGTCCTGAGTCACTGGTGTTGTTAATTTAGGGGTCGCGGGCTGAAAAGTTTGAAAACCCAGGCCTTAAAGGTATAGTTCATCAAAAACTGAAAATGCTGTTATCATTAACTCAAATAGGTTTAAGACACAAAAAGATTGAACACAGTAGTAGTTATTTTTAAAGATATCAGTAACCTGTATCAACTGACTTCCATATTATTTGTTTGTCCTACTATGGAATTCAATGGTTAGAGGTTTCTAGCATTTTTCAAAATGTCATTTTTTGTGTTTCATAACTCAAAGGTATGCAACCACTTAAGGGTGCATAGATCGTGATTCAATTCTCATTTTTGGGGTACCTATTCCTGCAAGATAATCATGAAAGCTTTTTTTTTCCTGCATTCCAACTGCATATTTCCCAATGGAGACTCTAAATATCGCTCACCTCTCAATAGCTGGGATTCCATCAACCTCTACTTATGTGTATTTTGAAGCAAATGCCATATTTAGAATAAAAATCCCTTAATTCATAAGTTTTTCACTCGATTGGGGTGTTTGACTTAATATAGGGAGGTAAAAAACTCTTGCGCAGCAAACATTACACCCACATGACCAATCAGCTATCTCCATTATAGCCTAGTTTATTGTTGGTTGCTAGGTTACCAATTCTATAGTCAGCCTTTCTAAAGTCAGTCACACTGCAGTTTAGGCTCCATAAACTTCCATTCATAAGCACCTGAATGCGGCAGACCCATTCAAGCTTGGTGAACTCTGACCTGCGAAATCGGATCACGTGACTGCATGAGACCAATCGAAGATCAAAACATGACCTCTCTGTACCTCTCACCCGCCTTTTTAAATGCCTAATTATCTTGTTTAATCCCGCCCCTTTTTGCAGCACCAAACGAGAGAATTTCGCATGCTCAAACTCCAGTGTGACGGCGGCATAACTTGATGGAAACACAATTAACTAAATTGGATGGAAACCTGGCTAATGTGGCTCAAAACTGAATTTTTAGATCAAGCAAGATTCTTTTATACATGTTCTGAAAGTCATTTACCGCTTTACAGGTGCAGACCACCACCATGTGCATCTCGGTCAGTCTGAGCGGCTCTGTGGTGCTCGGCTGCCTTTTTGCTCCCAAGATTCACATCATCCTTTTCCAGCCGCAGAAAAACGTGACCAGTCTGAGGGCCAAAGACAACCGATTCTCCTCGGCGGTCACTGCGCCGAGCTCCACCTACTCACAAGGTAGCCACATTGACTCCTAGAACTAAACTAATCATTAATAATCATCATGTATTTACATCTGATCGATTTTCCACAGCTTCAGCCTCTACTATAGTGCCAACGGTGTGTAATGGCCGAGAAGTGGTGGACTCAACGACGTCATCATTGTGAAGATGAATTGTGGGCCAATTTTATATCCCGTCATCACAATCAGGACGCAATTTCGTACACTTATTTGATACTCTAAGTCAATCTCAGCTCATCTCCTGGTTTATCCTGAAAACAAATGTCGAAAAAATCAAAACAACTGGACACCTACGCATTGTTCATGATGGTCTCTTCCTCCATCCTGACCAAGCATGTTTTTGTCTTTTGAGTTACACGGTTAAGCTATTGTTTATGATCAAGAGCTCTGAAAGAACAAAGATCATTGTAAATGTGATTATAAATTCATGTGCCAATGTGCTAGTAGATTTAAAGTCACTTTCCACTGGAACGGAAGAAGCTAGACTTGGCAATATGTGCCCTTGATTTATGTACACTACAAAAGAAGCTAGTCCTAAGTAATGATAACAGTAGACTTTGAGTTTCCAGTCATTATAACTGTGTTTTGTTGGACTTCAACCAGTCTTTGTTGGGGAAAGGCATGAAAAGCGAATGTATCAGTCTCGTGATTATTGGATCTTGACCACCAATGAGACTCGCACAAAATATACTATGATTTTTTTTATATGTACCCCAGGGTATGTGATTTTAGATGCTGTATTCTCAGTAAATGGGAAGCTGTAACCGATTTCTCGTTTTAGTTTGGTGGTAAAATAGTCCAATTTCAGTTGGAAATTATCGTCCTTTTTAAGTGTCGTGGTAAAAAACAAAAAGTCTGACGTTTGGTCCTCATGGATTAGTTTAGGTGTCATTGCAAGATGGACAAAACTAACTATATTCTGTATTTCCCTTTTTTGAACTTGCATTAAACGCTTAGTGGTCAGTTTCAGAACAAGTAGGTAATACTACAGATGTTTTAATGTGATCTTTGGTGAAGTGTTATACTTGTAATATATGTAAATAAATTCTTTTTATTAAAAAAAAACACCTGAAGTCTTCATTTGGCATAAGGATTACTAATCCATGATTTTATGAGTTTAAGAGATGAGGAAAGCACATTCAAACACATTTGTGCTTTTATGTAGAAAGTAAAGAGTAATAAAACAGATAAACTTAATATACATTTGAGCATCTCTTTTACATCATGTAAAGAAAACAAATTAAAAGTTCTCTGATACCAAACTTAAGCCCAAAATCATGCTTTACTGAACAACCTCTTGCTCTTTAGCCTGTCTTTTAAGAGGAATTATATACAGTCCGTTTTTAGCTTCCTTTATTCTCCACCATCGTCCCAATCTGAAAAAAAAGACAATGAAAAAGCATACATTGAGCTCGTGAACATTAACAAAACATCCATTCCCTTCATATCAGTGCCATCTAGTGGTAGTATACCGTTACTGCTTAAAATAATACATCTGTGTCAAATATTAAATATAGATGCAACGATTAACAATGAAATTAAATGTTAAAATGGTAAAGTTAATAAAATAATATTGCATGATTATTATTATTATTATTATAAGAGTATATACAAAACTTCTTAATTTGAATTTAATACCTTTTACTACCTTCAAAAAAAACTGTAGTGGCTTAAATGAAATATCTTTTCAAATGAAATAACATATTGCAGATAACATACATTTAAGTAAAGCAGAGGGATTAATCAAGATGTTAAAATGGGCCTTCGTCCATAGTTTTTAATCAATGTCAAAAAGACACAATTGCATAATGTTGGATATTTAAATGAACAGCTACAGATCAAAATTTGAACCAATTTTCCGAATGGAATGTCTACTCATTTGGCCCTCAGTAGAATACAATGCCTTATTAATAAAGTGCAGAATATCTCAGTAACTATATAAAGGTAACTGCAGGTTTCTAAGAGATATAATTAAGACTTAAAGACCTTTTTAATATCACACAGAATAACATGTAAAGAGCCAGTTTTGGTATACAATTTGCAAAAATTTTATAGTAAGGAGTTTGCAACTGCAAATTTGACTGATGTTTTCTTTCTTTAAACAATTAAGACTAATGAGAATTTCTTTTTTGCACGGAGAAAAACATTTTAAAAACACTTACGGCTTAAATGACATTTAACGGCAGCTAACTGATCGTATTATTAATAGTGAAATTTTCACACTGTGGAAAAAGGTCAGCACCAATGACACAGTATATGCGGCTGTGAGTGTCTGCTGAAGTCTCTATGACAACACTGCACGCTTCTTACCAGTCAAGCAAAAATAAATAAAAAATAGTAAATAAATACATAATAATAATAATAATAATCACCAAATTTTTGTCTTTGACTGGTTGGTAGGAGCATTTTCAGTTGTTCATTTATTAACATACAAGTTGATGCAGCTGTTATAAGCTATTACAGAGTGAAATCCCTGCAAACCATTTAAGGATAAGCAGAGTCCCAGCGAAATTATGTAAACACAATCCCTGGATCTATTTTAATTGGGTTCCGCCAATGACTATGAATAGACTTTGGTTCCACCTATTATTGTTCTGTGCAATGATCGATGAAGAAATTTAAGTATATTTCAAAACGGAGAAAAAAAATCTTCCTTAGGTAGTTGGTTCGATTGCATTTAAGACCTTTGAAATATAAATTTAAGACATTAAGGAAGCGAACACCCTAAATCAGCAATTGTAAATAAATACAAAATTATGCTTCATAAAAAAAAAAGTCAATTAAATTACAAAAATAAATAAATAAAAAGAATAAATAAATAAAAAAATTACCTGTGCTCCTGTCCGACTCCAGCCACAAGAAACTTCCCCGAGTTCGAGAACTTCAAACTGTTCACAAACCCGTTCTTAACAGAAAAAAAAAGAAAAGAACAATTTGATTATCATTTATTAAACTATAGGTCACACTTACTGTAACCCACACCCCTGACAGGCTCAATCTCTGTAGATACTGTACAGTTGTGAAAAACTCTGGCATTAAGAACTGATACATAATTGATACTCTTTAGAATGAGTTAACAGCTTAATCAAAACACTCAATGGGACATGATTCAGTAGCAGACTAACTGAACCCAAGCTGTTTGGCTCACCACTGGTACACTGAAGAGCAGCTCCAGACCTCTGAATCCCTGTCCGCACTTCCACAGCTGCACTGAGGAATTATGGGAGCCTGAGGACAGAGCACAATGATGTTGATGGTTATCAGGTGTTTGGAGAGCAGTGGCACTTTGTGAATAAGGTTAAAGTGGAACGACGACAGATCATGATGGTAATGTCATACTTAAAGATAATTGTGTGTTTATGAACGTGAAAAAAGAAATTTTTAGAGTGGCTGGCAGTTTTAAAGGGGACATATTATGGTAAACTAATTCCAGAATATATCTGCAAATGAGTATTAAGACAGGTTTTATTGAAAAAAATAAGACCTGTGCAAAAATGTAAGACCTAGAAGAGCAAATTTAAGGTTAAGGCCTAAAATTTAGATATTTAATTTTTAGACAGTATAGAAATTTTAAAACTTTGCGGGAACCCTGTTTAAGGCTAATCCCAGTCATATCAGTGGAGCATGTGAACACAGTGGCCAATCAGCAGTGTTTAAAACACTCAACAGTGCACAAATGTTAACGGGAAACTGAGGCTTTTAAAATTTCAGTAAAACAACCAAACGATACTTTTGACCCTACCAGGGACTCGATTATATCATGTGAACATGTCAGATTTTCATTATTTGTGCCCTTTAAGTGTGGTTGATGTTTGTGTGTGTATGTGCACCTGAGGCACCTGATGCCACTGTGTCGGAGTTGTGCAGCGCCGCCACTGATGACACCCAATAGGGCTGCTCCAGACCTGCAGAGCCACGCACACCATGAGCCTGCTTGACTGAGCTCAGCGGCTTCTTCTTATTCACCGTCCAGATGGACACAGCACTGCGTGACAACAAAGCAGAGCGAAACTTCATCAATTATCAAAGAAAGTCAGTTTAAGTATTAAAAGTATTCATCCATTGATTTTTTTTTATTACAGTGGTCCCTCGCTATTAAGTGTCGCGGTGTCGCAGTTTAGCAGATTTTTTTGTGTGCAATTTGACAAGGTTTTTTATTTTCTTTGGTTTCATTCTTCAATACTAGAGTTATTTTTCTTAAAAAGTTTAAACTTTTGAGTGTTTAAACAAAAGTTCAATGTGTGAAAATGTTAATTCCCGTCTGAGAAAAGTGTATAAATTGTGCAGTGAAGGGTTTTACAGCCTTAAAACATCTATAATAATTGTAAAAAAAAAAGAAAAAGTAAAGCTGTAAAACGGTAAAAAGTAAAACGTATTTAGTATATTGCAGGTTATTTTTAAAATGTAACTCCGGCAAATAACGAGGGAACACTGTATAGCAGTGGTCTTTACAAAGGGGTTTTTTTTTTAGCTGAACCCCTTTACATGCACCTTTCTACAAAGTGAAAAAGTCGAAAAAATCCTGAAAATGAATACAAAATTCTATGGGATTTTTTTTTTTATTAACTAGTAAATAGGCTTTTAACGGTCAATCAAGTTTGCATTTTTCATATCTTTTTATTTTATTTGCAATAAAATTTCAGTTTTTTTAAAGCACAAACCATTTCAGTAATAGGTATAAACTGGTAATTGGCAAAATGCAATAAGATCAACAGATAAAGCAGCATAAAATAATGGAGTTTATTAATAATTTACACATGCCCTAATAGAAACTCTAGCCTTTAGAAAAAGCTGAAGTGAAATCAAGTCTCACCCATCATCTCCACCGGTGACCATGTGTTCTTCATTAATAAGCTGAACACAGTCAATGGAGCCTCTTCAAACAGACACAACACACAGACAGGAACATAAAAAAACAACAGAATTAATACTTTTTTTTTTTTTTTTTTGGTCAATTCTGAGGATGAGCAGTTTATGACTACAAACTCACTCATGTCCATGAAAGACGAGCTGTGATTCCTCTGCTATCTTCCAGACTCTGACCGTCCGGTCTCGACCTCCAGTGGTCACACACCTCTCTCTGCTCAAACAGTCCAGACCGGTAATAGCATCCTGATGCCCAAACCTGAACGCATACACAAACCAGTAAACACACTAATCAACCCTGTGAATGAACAGACACT